CACTACACTCTAAACAGTCCCTCACCATCTTTCCTGTAGGCTCCCTTCAGAAACTGGTAAGCCACAATTAGATCTCCCTGGAGCCTTCTCTTCTCCAGGCTGAACAATCCCAACTCTCTCAGCCTGTCCTCATAGGAGAGGTGCCCATTTTCTGAAACTGGACCTGACGAGTGCTTCCTCTTGCATTAACATGGCTTGATGGACCATTGATTGCAGTTATCCTATCAAGGAAACTTGAGGATAGGGCTGAGAGGATTGTGTATGTATGTTTCTGAAGATTTGTAGAGCTTCAGTTGAGGTCATTAACTTCCTTCTAAACATGATTCTAAAAGGTTTCATCTATGATGCAAGCTATGGTCAACCGATAACCGTGTCATTGTAACCAAGCAACGGGGCAGCTCTGATTGCCTAAATATAGAGAGTTTTCAGTGCCTCATTTGAAGGGTGACACTAATGATGAGAAGGCATAGCTGCAACACTCGCTCTTATCATTGTATTTTTCTCGAGTGCTCTCATAAGTTTCTTTGTTTAGCAAACCCTTCTGATAACTGTAGAAATGTAAATGAATCTTAATCTTGCTCAGAGAAAGTTAAAGGGTAGTGATTGAATAGTCAGTGAACTTTTGACCAGGCAGGGTTTTTACTGTTAAAACTAGTAACAAGAAATCTCAAAGCATGACTGTTACAGATCCTGTGACTCGGTCACACTATCTATGTTACTGATGGACTATTGCATCTCAAGTTAGGGCTGTTTGGTAGTGAAATATGCTTCTAGTTCTCAGACTCTCCTAAAGTTTTGCAGAGGAGATATATTTAGGTAGAAATGTAACCATGACTCTCTAGATGGTAGAATGCTTTGGGATATTTTCCCAATAAAAATACTGTAGAAGTACAGGCTTCATGTTCTAAGAGGTCTTCTGAGAGTTGCATAACAGTTCAAGTAAATCCTCCAAAACAAAATGATCTTTTTCAAAAAAGAATGATCCAAAGATTTACTTTAAAACATCTGAATTCTAAGCACTGCTGTTGTGGTTTAAGCCCAGAATCTAGCTCACTTGTTTTTAACATACTGCCCAGAATGAAAACAGATGGCATTGGTGATACATTCAGTTCCTCTGAGTTGAAGAATGAGTATGGAGGCTTTCTGTAACCTCTGTTTTTCTGGTTTGCACAGGTGCTGAACAGGTACTCTTCCACACCTCTCATTCCTCTCCCAACACCTCCTATTCTTCCAGTATTACCTCAACAATTTGTGCCTCCCACTAACGTCAGAGACTGCATACGTTTGCGTGGTCTTCCTTATGCTGCTACTATAGAGGACATCCTGGAGTTCTTGGGGGAGTTTTCTACAGATATTCGGACCCATGGAGTTCACATGGTACTAAATCACCAGGTTGGTAGGCACCATGTTGGCTGGCACACTGTGTAGCCAGTCTGTGCCAACTGCCTGTATGTGCAAACACTGTCTTCCTCATGACACCAACAGGGAAGCACCTTTAGGATTGACACTACTGGCATTAATTGGCCTCCAGCTCTCCTCTAAAAGTGTACCAGCAATAAATGGCTGGTTTATTTGAACCCTGCTGCTGCATTTGCTGTAGAGTGGTTTCTGTTACTGAGACCCATGTGCCTAAAGCTAAGCCACAGTCTTGGAGGGGCTGATGTTCCCAGAGCAGCAGTTGTGATCTGGACTGTAGGAGGCTTGAGCTGAAGAGTCCTGCTCAACAGCATGCCTGATTCCTCCTGAACCAGGCCAGGAGCATCTTCAAAATAAAGGTGTGGACAGTGCCAGCTCTCAGAGGGGTGGTTTGCCCCTGCCTTGCTGAACAGTGTGCCTCAGGTATATTTGAGGACAAATGGGAATGTGGCCTTTCAGAGACAGGATTGCCTATGGCATAAGTCAGCTGCTGAAGTTTTGGGTTTCCTGAACTGTATGGTTGCTTTCTTTAACCAGTCTCAGCTAAGCACCCAGATTAACAGCTCATTGACATGTATAAACAGTCACATCTTTGCCATTGTTTTCTGGAAGCAGTTTCTACCAAAACGTTTTAGACAAAGGATTGTGCCTTCCCTTGATCGCCTTTATCTGCATAGTCTTGTGACTTTAGAGGGAGGAGACAGCAGCTCCTCCAAGTCTATGGAAATGCCCTGAGTGGTTGCACTGATTACGCTGACTATTGTGGTATAAAAATGTTTCTTACAAAACTGTTTTGGTTGACACTAAGCCGAAGCTGAAACTACAGAATTCTTCCTTGTCCTGGAGGAGGGCTTCTGTGTCTTGCAGGCATGGGGAGGGAGAAGGGACTATAGTTATTCCAGTACCTCTCTGTCTGTGAGGACTTGATTTAGCCAAGGCTGAAAAACTATAAGGAATGTGCAGGGTTGGCAGAGGCAGATGTTAAAGCACAAGCAATGGTTTACAGTAGTGTCAGTCCTTGCCAGCAGTAACAAAAGAACCTGGAGGAAGAAATTGGTGTGTGTGTGTATATAGTCCTGAGGACTGTCTGCTTCTAACAACACAAATTATTGCTAGGCAGCAACTTCATAGGAGCTCCGGAAACATTTATTTTTGTCTGCCCTATTTGCAGGGACGTCCATCAGGAGATGCTTTCATTCAGATGAAATCTGCAGACCGAGCTTTTCTGGCGGCACAGAAGTGTCATAAGAAAACTATGAAGGACAGATATGTTGAAGTCTTTCAATGCTCTGCTGAGGAGATGAACTTTGTATTAATGGGGGGCACTTTAAATCGAAATGGCTTGTCCCCGCCACCATGTAAGTTACCATGTAAGTTTTGCATGGGTCTTGCCAATACTCTACGCTATGTGCGGGTAGGTGTTGGAGCTGCTTCCTTGACTCTGATTCTGGTTCTTGGAAAGGAGTGTCAGGTGGGGGTATTAAAATAAGGTCTTTTCATCTTAAATCATCAGCAGCTTGCAATCATTATTTTTCCCTTTGGTTGTGAATTACTATGACTGAAGAACTACTTTAAAATTACCCTTGCTTTTCCAGTGGCAAACTTCCTTTCCCCTCCCCTCCCTGAAACTTCACTTGGCCAGGGTGAACCATGACTCTGAAAAGTAATTTGTAAGCCCTGCCTAGAACTTAAAGAACAGTTTCCTGTTTGAACTGATTTGTATTTACACTTTTCATCATGGTGAACATGTCAAGTAAAAGCCCTTCCCTTTTCACTTCCAAAACTTAATTTATGAAACAATTGGTAATGTTCTCCTTTGGGACTTAACCACAAGTGTTCTGTCTATTGAACCCCTACTGACTGAACTCTTGCTTTTTGCTGTTCCTACAGAATTGAGATTGCCCATGTGGGAGGAAAATACACGTAGCTTTGGCCTCAGAGAATTGCAGAAACTGTATTTCATGTAAAATTATGCTCCTCAAAGCTACCAGAATGAACATGGACTTCTAGACAAACATTATGGGGAAGTGCTTTAAGAGTTTAAGGGCCACCTTACTAAGTATATGTACCATATAAATCTCAGCCTACGGGGAAAAATAATACTTTGCTTCCAGGATCATAAATGGCAAGGTAGTAGAGTAGGAGCTTTCTCTCTTTCTATGCAAATATATCGTTGTTGGCTTTTCTAAGAAATGGCCTCTAAATCCTAGCCAGAGCTGCCAATATGGCAACAAACTGCTTGGGTGTGGTTCGTTTGGAGTGTGATTCAGCTAATCCTTAGGAGATGTTTTCCAGGTGACTAGCATTTTTTTCTTTTTGCAATGCAAGTATCCTTCTGAGCAAGGATCTGCAGTATGTAGTCCTATGTGTGGCAGCTGTTCCAGTCAGGGGTTGGAAGCTTCTCTTGAGAGCTCCTAGGACAGGTTCTTAGGCAGAGCTCTGAACTTTGGGGACTGTCAGGTGACAGTGTTCCCATTTTCAACCACATATGCCAGTGATGAAGCCCTTTTGGCTCTCACTGTCCCATCCCCATAATGCAGTGAGATGCTGGCACTTTAAAGAAGCTTCTCTTTTTTCTTTCTCCCCTCCCTCAATCAGAGATATGTTCACTTTATGGCACTGGGGAAGAGGAGGGGGGGAAAGGAAAACAGTGGCAAAGGAAGAGAGTGAACTCTCATCAATGCAAATTCGTTTGAGGCCTCAGATCTTGTTGAAACCCCACAAAATACACTTTTTTTTTTTTAAAAAAAAAAACACCTCAGTCTTAACACTCGAAGCTGTGAAGCCATGACTTTTCTCGCTCTGCTGTTGGTTAATTGAAGACAGAGCTGTTTCAGGGATAGGGAGCGTCAGGATGAAAAGGTGCCCTCTGCTCTGGGGAATGTTAGGCAGATCTTCAGCACAGAAGTTTCCCTCTTACAGTGGAGAAGTCTCACATTTCCTGATTGGAGACTTCATCAAAATCTGAGCCTAGACAAGAAAAACTGGCCTCTTCAGAAATAGACCCTATTCCCAGAGCAAGAGGTGGCTTTTTGTGTATGACTGACTTTGCTTTTGACTGGGGTGGGTGGGCACAACACTTGTAGGTAAGCTCATGTTGGTGGCTCAGATATTATTTTTCTGTGATGAGAATGAGAAGCTTGTGAAGGCTCTCTACTTACTGCAGAGTTCAGCTAATGAAGTCCATATATATGCTGGAATTCAAAAGGTCCTAATCTATTTTCCATTTGTTCCCTTTAGGCCTTTCACCCCCTTCCTACTCCTTTCCAACTCCTGCTGCAGTTGTGCCAACAGAAGCTGCTCTGTACCAACCATCTATGCTCCTGAACCCACGAACGCTCCAGCCCTCCACAGCGTACTACCCTGCTGGGGCTCAGCTCTTCATGAACTACACAGCCTACTACCCCAGGTAAAGCAGAAGAGAAACCAAGCAGGAACAAAGAAGTCTTTTTTTTTTTTTTGCAGCAAATGCACAAAGCTCACAAAAGAACATTGTCTGCCATGCTAAAGGCTTGTGCTACCAAGAACAGCTTGTTCGGTATCTTGTTCAGGGAAACAATTTCAGGATGTCTAGGGATTTCCCAAGTTTTAGAGTATTTCAGGTAGTGATGATCTTTTTTTAAAAAAAACAAAACGTAAGTCACACAGTTACAGTGGGATTTTTGGGTTGTTCCCCCCCCCCAAGATGCCTCTTAAACTTGTTAGTTTGCATTGTCGTGCCCTCAGTGGGAATTGGTGTGTGTAGCACTCCTTCCCAAGTCTGGAAAGAAGCCCTTGTCCCCTCTTTAGAACGGGTGGATTGGGGTCTGCTCTAACAACTTTGGAAATTCTGCCTCTTTGTTTTTGTAATAAAGTAGCTTCTGACCTTTATGGTGAAAACTCTGTTTACTTATTTATAAAAGTACTGCATTGGAGCATATATGTATTGAATGCATGTGTAAAGCATATAGAGGCATATATTCTTCCTAACTTCATAAACACATCTCAAAGGGCTTTTGGCTCTTCTGGATATATTAGTTATTTTCTACAGAACAAAAACTCTGATACCATTTTCCCTCTTCAGTCAAGAGGCCTTGGAAAGAGCCATGTTCCCTGTAAGCTATAAACCATTCCTCGTCTGTTAGGAAACCTGCTAAAGAATTCAGTTCTTCTGTTAGATTCCAAGCAGTGCTTTTTATGTCTGGAGAAGGGTCCAAATAGCTACTGGTGAAGTTGTTGAGCAATGTGGACTCTCTAGTACCTGTAAGATAACAAAGGTTTTCTATTACTTTACACTAAACCAGTATGTCTGTGAGCTGCCTGTTGTGTTGGGTTTTTTATTAAAATGTTTTCTTCACTCATGAGTTAATTTCTATAATGCTTTCAATGTCTGTCTTATGGTTATGATAATGTGTTACCAAACTCAGCCTCTTTAATGTAAGATCAAGAAAAATAAAATTCCAAACTTGCACTGGCAATATAAAACAAGTTTCTCAATAATAGTTCTATGTCATGAGAACACAGTAGCGGTAAAAGTTTGTAGTGAGTTTGACATGTTGTACTTCTTAAAGCAATAGTAGGCTGGCCACTGCAGGCAGTGTCAGGCCCTACAGAGATCTCTCAGTGAACGGGATCCCACATGAGTCCCAACACTGGCTGCTTGGGCTGTGGGCATGTGTGTTGGTTACAGACCGATCAATCCCAAGTCCCAAAATATCCTTTTTATGTTTTTTTATCTGGCTGGCAGTTGTATGCTATTCTTAAGAAACCATTCCTATGTAGCTTTTGTGCTAATTTCAAGTACCTCCCTTTTAAAAAAAATAAGGTAAAACTTCTAGAGTCAACTCTACTTCTTTCCACGTTGTGAGATCTGGTCTTTAGATACTGCTTTTCTATCCAGAGTAAATGTTTGATCCAGAGACAAATTCCATATATTTCAATAGAAGCGGTGATTCTTTGTAGCTGATATTTTGGGTTTTTTCGTGAAAAGCTAAGCCTTGATGCTTTTCAGACAAGTTCCTGTACTTTGTAAAGGATGCAATAAGTAATTGGGTCCCTTTCACATAGCTATCAGAACTCTCTTAAATGGCGTTTTCTGATTCTGAAATCTAATTCAAAAACTGTTAAGTATGTGCAGCAGGAGAGACTGGGGTATCCTCTGTACTAAGTGGTGCATTTAAATGCATGTACATGGAAAAGCAATACAGACCTGGTGGCTAATGATCAGACAATGGTTCATAAATCTAACTAGTGAATACTTATGGAAATAAGGAAAGTTTCTTTGACCTGCTGCCAAAAGGTTCTACCACTTGTGTTTTGCAAGGTCAAGTTGCTTTATAATAGCCAATTCTGTTCTCTGCACAGTAAGCAACCGAGATATGGGGGGGGTGGGGAGGGAGGCATTGCTTTGGTCTTCAGTATCTGTCAAAAATCCCTGAAACTCTCCGACTTGTGTTAATGCTTTTATAGCTTTGGTGATGAAACTTGATGGTGTAAAGAAATGGATGCCTTCTGTGCTATTAAACTAGCTTTAGTGAACTCCTAATGAAAAGGAGGCAGAGCAAGTTATTCGGGATCTGTCAGTCTTTGATATCTCTGTTCAGCTCGTAATTATATCTGGCAAGATGTTCTGACAGCAAATCAGTGGTCTCAGTCTCTGCCTAGTCCCAGGCTTTTGAGAAAAGAACAATAGGATTCATGGGAGGGAGGAGTTTCTTTCCTTATCTAATCCTGGATAAATAGGTGTACTGGTTGCTGTGTGTATGTACACTGAAAGTAATAAATAACTGGGCTACTTGGCAACTGCTAACATGTTCTATAGAAACTTTTACCATACACAAACTTGAAAGTTACTGCTATGGGATATGTAGTTTTAAAACAAAGTTAAATGTTACTGTAATTATTCAGTTCTAATGCCATTTTGATCACTCTTAAGCAGTGCCTTTAAAACCTCAAAAGTTTCTGTCAAAATCCATAACTGTAGGAATACATTTAAACTTTGTTCTTTTCAACGTTATTTTGAGTAGTGATGTGGAAAGCAGAGCTTCCTAGTAGATAGTATGCTGGTGGGACTTGTAGCCAAAAAATTATGTGGAAGCTGAAAACTGATGTGGGTTCAAACGAACTGGATAAATTCAAGGGCAGGAAATTCATTGTGAGTTAGTGAATACACAGAAACTACATCTGGCTCAGGAAGTCCTTGAACTCAAAATAACTGGAAGACTGTTCTTATGTTCTGTGTCCTATGGTAAACTCTTGTGCTATTGAACCATGGTGGGTAGGTGAACTTTTTTGCTCACATTTTGAAGTAGTATTTGTCTTGAGTTATTGGTACCACTTGTGAGCATGGGTCTCTTACGAGGTGTTTGTAGCAGTATTCAGCTGTGTTAGTCTAATAGTGGCTAAGTTTGGGTTATCTCCCTGTTGTGTCATTATCCTGGAGAAACTGACTGCTCATGGCTTGGACAGGTGCACCCTTTGCTGGGTAAAAAAAACCTGGATGGCTGGGCCCAAAGAGTTGTGGTGAATGCAGTTAAATCCAGTTGGCGGCCGGTCACAAGTGGTGTTCCCCAGGGCTCAGTACTGGGGCCACCTCTCTTTAGTATCTTTATCAATGATCTGGATGAGGGGATTGAGTCCACCCTCAGTAAATTTGCAGATGACACCAAGCTGGGCAGGAGTGCTGATCTGCTGGAGGACAGGAAAGCTCTACAGAGGGATCTGGCCAGGCTGGATCGATGGGTCAAGGCCAACTGTATGAGGTTCAACAAGGCCAAGTGCCAATTCTTGCGCTTCGGTCACAGCAACCCCATGCAATGCTACAGGCTCAGTCACAGCAACCCCGTGCAATGCTACAGGCTTGGGGAAGAGTGGCTGGAAAGCTGCCTAGAGCAAAAGGACCTGGGAGTGCTGGCCGACAACCAGCTGAATATGAGCCAACAGTGTGCCCAGGTGGCCAAGAAGGCCAACAGCATCCTGGCTTGTATCAGGAATAGTGTGGCCAGCAGGACTAGGGAA